ATAAAGGTATGTTACGAATTGAAGCTGACACATACAGCCTCATTTTCAAACGCAGAAGTGTGCAGATCGACACTAAAAGCGTTGTATTGGGATCCCTCTATATATTCTTTCACATTAAAAGAAGAAGACCGAGTTGCCAATCTATAAGGTGAGAGGAAAATAGTAGCCTTTCATTCAGTTGAAAATTTGAGAAGTGCATGGAAATCTGGCTGCAGTGCATCTTACACATATTAAGACAGTGGCAATACTTGAAATCACACTTGAGTTTACGTCTAATATCAGATAATGGTAGATGGATTGCTCCAGTAGCTTATGCCCCTACTTGTGTTACAGTTGACTCCACTCCAGCCGTCTGTGCAGCTGCAGGTGTACTGGTTTTGTCCATTGAAACAGCTGCCCCCATTCTGGCATGGGTTACTTGAACACTCGTCGTAATCTAAACGAAAAAATGCTTGCAATCATTCAGTATTTGTTGTGTCTTCTCAAAAAGGGAAAACATTTTCTGCCAAATTAAGCTCAAATATTTTTGGGGTCTGAAAGGCCTGTCTAATGCCTGCATCTCTCTGTAGAATCAAAAAATGGCCATTGGTGTTGTCCTTACAATCAGTGACATACCTAGGATCAATTAAATTTAAATATTTACATATATGCACACACAGGTGCTGAATTCTGCACAGACATAAATAGGGTTGAAATCAGGTCCACAACAAGTCTCTGGAAGTCCATCAAAAGTCATCTCCTCTCTAGCAAAGTCACAAGCTATTCAAATGAGTTGTAAGAAAACATCCCTTTCTCATTGTTCAGGAGTACTTATGACTGGACTTGAGCAAGGACTTTGTAACTAAACTTGTGATGAACTGAACCACAGCCCTGACATGTAAACTTTAGAGCCCAGACAATCAGAGTACAGTTAAGACAGAAACATCAAGGTACTAATGAAATCTCAGAAATAGGAGCTGATTTCACACTGTTCTACTCACACAAATCTACTGAGCATGCAATATGCTCGCTTAGTGGAAAAGACATTTCCAGGCAAATATCACACGTTCTACCGGTATGTCTTGTGACTGGATCCCTACTCTTTTTGCTCAGCACATAAATCTGCTCAGCTAAATAAAAATGGGCCAAGCTCAGATCTACAATCTATTTTGAACCTTATTCTAGAGTAGCTAGGATGAAAACAAGCCTCAAAAGGTTTTACTGCTAAAGTCTCCAACAATGTACTTTGCATGGCACTTTGGCTGGTATTCTTTTTTGCTTATTTTGCATATTTTCTACAATTAGTAAATAGCTGCTTTATCAGGAGTTGGCTAGGTTCAACCAATGGCTGACCCAACACTTTTTCATACCCCAGAACAAGTCAGCTGGGTTCAACCAACAGTTGACACAACACTTTTCACACTTCAGTGGGAGTAAGCTAAATTCAACCAATGGCTGACCCAACACTTTTTCATACCCCAGAACAAGTCAGCTGGG